TTAAATAATTTTTTTCATGAATAATTAATTTTTTTCATGAAAAAATTAAACACGATTTTTTATTTGATAGAAACCCGAAAATTGGGGGCCTAAAAGCAGTGGCGGGAAGAGCCGGCACTCATAACGACAAAGATATATTTTTACTTTAATTAAAAGTTGTTTGTCAATATAAATCGTTTCTTCTTTAATTAAAAATTTCAATTTGATAAAGAGTGTTTACCTCCAAAAAAACCTATGCAATATAAATTTAAAATAATTAAACTCGTATGCGTGTATCAAACCTCTTATCAAAAAATAAAATTGCTTTGTCAAGATTCACGTTACACTAGTTGGTCGGTGAGGGTGATGCGTCATTTCCCTCACATATACACTAACAAATTCTATTCTCTATATACATTCAAAACTAATTGAAATTCAATGTTTCATAATGAATGGAGTACTATAAACAAATACTTCGATTCTTAATTACTTATCTATCTTTTTATTCATTTATTTTAATAAAATAAAAAAAAATGATTCTTTTTACTTATATATCCTCAATTAATTGATATTGGGTTTGCTTTATAAATAATTAAATATATTTATATGAAGGGGTCCAAAGTCTTCTTAATTGTCGGTAGCTTCTAGAATGCTCTTTTAGTCCTGCACCAAAAACCTCTTGAATCAAATCTAATTTGAATCTCCATAATCATAAAAATTTCTTAATTTCTTCTATTAACTGTAATTTTTTTTCTTCTAGAAACTATATGAACTTTTAACTTTTTTTATTTGAAAGTCTATATGATTCATAAATTAGTAGCAAACATTGCATAATCAGTGGCATTTGTCAAAAAATGTCAAAACCTAATTATTAAGAAAAAGTCTTCACTCTTAATTTTAAAGAAGAATAGGTATAGGTGTTTTGACTTTTTTTTTATTCTTTAAATAATTAGAGGTCTTTTCATTTATTATTAAATTAAATTATTTTCTAAAGGGAAAAACGATGAAAAATAGAAAAACACTAAATTATTTCTATGATTTTGACATCTAAAATTTGGTGAAAAGTCAAGAAAATACCTTATGAATTCGAAGTCCTTTAAACAAATTCTAAGTTTTGAATTTTTTCTTAAGATTTATTATCTCAAGTAATTATTTTTTTAAAGGTTTTCTAAGATTTTTATTATTTATTTTTTTGATTTTTGCTTCAGCCCAAAGGTTTTGGTTTTGGGATAGTACAAAGATTAAAGTAATGTTTTTGTGGAGTTCAAGGAGGTTTATTTATAGTATTTAAGAGAGCTCTCTCACCGTTTGCGGTAGTATTGTAATATTTATTATTTTTAATTTTGAATTAAAAATTTTAAAATATGAAATTATTTTGG